TGCATTCGCTATCTGATGGCAGTTAGAAGACTAGGAAAGAACACTAGTATCGTAGCGAATTCATGTCAAATCTAAATGAATGAACTGCTTGATTCGTTGTACTGATCAAACTGATCTAATGTTTTGAATCATCTTAGATCAACCAAGGCTACCAGTTGCTATCGCAAATCGTTCCAACAGCACCGTCTCGCAAACTCAGCAAGCTAGAAACCCTTCGTGAGGCAGTCCGATATATTCGCCAGCTTCAAAGTGTCCTGCAGGAGAGTGACTCTGGACCAGCATCGCCTGACTTCGACTATTATCAACCACCTTTGCATCAACAGTCCCAGCAACCACCTACATACGTGCCGAGTTCGAGTAATCAGTTACCACCGCTGAATGAGTCTATTTTGCTGAACTATCAAAGATCCAACTATGACCAAACTTCTACAATGAATTTCTGGGACCAGAATGATAGTTATTCATATGATTACGATCAGACATACCCAATGAATTCATCGAATTCATCTGAATTCACATCAAATTGCATTATTTATTAAAATCATAGTTGAATTAATGTTCAATCTCATTTCTGTAATGTATCAGTCAATTTTGTTTTGGTTCATACGGTATTGTTCGATGTTGATATCGTAGTAGCAGAATCGACACTCGCTTGTTGGGAAGGTGGGAACGAGAAAGGGTAGAGGTGACCGAAGTGATTCTGAAAAATGAACTAAAGACCGGAATCCATAGGGTATTTGAGGCATAAATAACAGTGCTCACTTTTTTAAGGTCCTTGGCCTTTCGGGATGAGTTGTATATCATCCTGTAGAGCTCCTGCAGCTGTCAGTAATCAGATTTTTCTTTGACATGAGCCAGTACATAACATGAGAAGAATGATTAGTAAAAAAAGTTGGAGTCAGTGGTATCTTTTCATCTTAGTGAATTGCATGTCTAGCAATTGAACGTGAGGTTTTTTGTGGCTGTTTGGAAGCATCGCGGAAGTCGATTCTGCAGCTATACGATTTTATACGGGTACATTAAGTATATGTCTTTCCTGGTGTTTTAGGTTTTTTCATTGAAAGTTATTTGTTAATTGTTTCATAATTGTGTTCTCGAAATAAAGTTCGTTATCGTGATTTCTAGTCCCTTACATATCTCTGCGTACAATAGCTATCGTATTAATGAGACGTGATACATTTAGTGATGTCTCAATTCCAGTTAAACTGTTATATTCTTATTCTATTCCTGTTCTGTTCCATGGTATAGAATAAACAATTCGCAAATCAGGAAGGAACAGTTTGAACAGAATAGAGCCGTTTTTGAGCCCAAACGAACAGAACAGAACAGTTTTCAAAAACGTGGTATAGAGACATCACTGGATACATTCATTGTTCAGATCTAACAATAAGAGAACACGTATCATAATCTATTGAATTACAATTTTTGATATCCCTCCGTTGGAACGCTGTTCTGTTTTTATTGGAAGCTGAATCTTCTAGTTCTTCATTGAATATCCCGAAATCTTTCCACACAGTTTCCATCGTACCCGAACAATTTCTTCGAAGTTCCCTATTAATCGCATAACTTATGTTATTCATAATTAGTAGATGCCATCAAGAAGGTACATCTAATTACTGCAATAAGCCAATAGAATACCTTTCATTAAAGCAATAAAGTAACTCATTAAGTGGTCTAAAACATTCATTGTCCCCTTCTCTCCCAATAAATGATCATAAAATTCATCGAATTCTATAGGCAGTTGATTGCTAAAGTAAGTAATCAGTAATTCAATTACCAATCAATGAAACTTATTTACAATCTCGCCATACCCTTACCTATAATAGCCTTACGACAGCAGATATGATACCTTTCCTATTCAATCGGTTCTGTGATTTTGCGATCGTAGATAAACCACTGGAGTCATTATAATACCATTATGATCAAAATAACTTCTTTAGTGGTCTAAAACATCCATTATCCCCTTCCCTCCCAATAAATAATCATAAAATTCTTCGAAGTTCTATAGGCAGTTGATTGCTAAAGTAAGCAATCAGTAATTCAATTACCGATCAACGAACATCATTTACAATCTCGCCATGCCGTTACTTATAATAGCTCTGCAACAGCAGATATGATATCCCTTCTATTCAATCAATTTTATGATTTTGTGATCATGGATAAACCACTGGAATCATTATAATACCATTATGATCATGGTTTTCATGAGCGCATACCGCGCATGGCAAATAACACAGGTTGTTGCATAGATAATAAACATATGTACCTGTGCATTGTCGAAATGCTGTCCTTGCAGTCAGCAAATGCATGCATGCTTAACCCTAACTGACCTCAGAGTAATTATCCGAATCGGTTAGCTCTTTGATTCAGGCAATCAAGTAATCACAAAAGGTAATCGACTCAATTGTCATGTGGATCGATTTTCTCGTAGAGATCGAATGGACGATCAAAAAAATCGCATGAAACGCGAGCGACATTCAAGCTTCTTTCATGCACGCAACGTAATTATCATCGTTCGTCATTATTGTTACACTTACTCCTACAGGTGGTGGTTCACGCCTGTTTCTTTGAGTTGTCGTTAGAACTGCAAAAACAACACATCAACTATTGTTTTTAGACGAATCAAAATGAAAACATTATCTCAGCGGCTATAGCACGATGAATAATGTGGATACATAGAAGTGGGCATAAGAAACCGTTAATCGGTGTTCAGGTGTAATCAAAATCATTTTGTGATTCATCTGGTAACTTTGATTTTAGAAAAAGTCGAAAAGTTTTGTAAAAGAAGGTACATCAGGGTTTGTTCGTTTGTTCATTTGAGCCGAAATAGATTTTTGAATTCAGATTAAAAAACTCAGTTTTGAGTTCAGAAGTATCGCAGAATTTTATTATCATTAAAAACCTACTGGTGAATTGACCTGCGGGGCAAATTCGTGGAAAATAAAGGAAACAAGATTAAGTGTTGGAAAGGGCCTTGAAAATAAGCATAAGTAATAATGACTATGACTATATGACTGTAGTTGTCCTCTTAAAAGTTGTCCTCTTAAAAAAAGAGTTAAAACTGAAGTCTGAAGGAAAAAAGTCTGAAGGAAACTTTTTTCGGCAAAGTTGCAACAGATACAAAAGATATCTGCGCGTGCAATCGAGGATAAACATGGATTATAATGAAAGGAGTGCAAAGATTTCTATTGATACGTCCATTGTCGGTGTTAATGTTGTTCAGTCTCTCAACAAATCGGATAACTGATTCGAATTGATGATTGCACTGTGGCACAGTATGTGGCAAGTTATTGAGCGGTTGATCTTATCAAACAGAAGTGTGGCCAATAATTATTGACACAGAAAAACATTTTATGTGATTGATTTCTTTGATTTACTCTGATATGACTACATGAATATGTGATTGCTTTTTATGTGGTAGGAAAATGATTAATAGCAATGGTTTACGTGTGAAACTGGTGATTAAAGTAAACCTTATGGGGCATTGATTTTGATATGACGGAGAATAACGTCAGTTGATTAGCCATGATGGCTGAATACAGTAACATGGACGGCTAAATAGAATCTGTATATAGTTTGAACGACTTTCGAATTGTTATTGCCTGGCGTGAAATTGACGAAAAGGAAAGGATTGGTAATGGGATCGGAGTTGGTCAAAACAATCAACGATTATTTGGGATTTCTAGTGGAATTTTCTAGGCTTAAACGACATTCTCTGACTGTCATGATGGTGAATAGAATTATAATTCTGCGATCTCGTAAGATGACTAGATTTTGACTGATCTTTCAACTTCGACTCGATCTCCTGGAATTCAATTTTTACAAACATCGATGTCATCTTCATGCTTAATTTTTTTGATGGTCTTAAGATTCGGTCTTGGCAATGGTCTATTCTTAGTTTGGTGATGTTATTGTTTGACTTGGAAAGGTCATCATCCATCATGCATTATCTATAATACAATACGAGATGAGTATGTTTCTCGGTTGTCTCATTGGCTATAAGGCGTGGTCATTGTATTTGTGATGAGTCGAGCAACTAACTGCCCGCTTAATCAGCCAGATTCATTCAGATTATTAATGGTATTATAAGACACTCGGATCTGGTCATTCGAAATTATCTATTCCAGTAGCTTTTAAATTTATCTTTGTTGATCCTTTGAACGTGTTACTGAGTTATTCCGATTGGGCTATGTACGTGTTTCAGTGGATTTATAGTGAAATGCTGTTGATTTCGTAAAATTTCGCTGTGTAAACCTTCTCTTAATTTCAGACAGAACAATTTTCAGGGTCATATTTGCTGAGGTTATCTTGCCAGCATTCAGTGGATTCCGATTTTCATATCAGTATATCTTGATGACCTACAATTACTTCATGGATGCCGAACGTCTCTCAGATAGTCAACTGGTCTCCCCGCCAGCTTCGGATACGATCGAGCAGGTTGAAGTGGTAGAACGCCGAAATGAACGTGAACGTAAACGTGTCCATCAGGTTCGATTTTGAATTTACACTCAAGACTTTTAAGTCAGAGTTTCCTTATTTCATTTCGTCACTCTGATCACTCGCATTCGCTTTCCTTGATGTAATCAGACGTTTGCGGGTAACAGTGCAAAAATTTGACGAGAAATTAAATTTGCATTTCTTTTACCAAAATCGACATTTTTTCAATGAATCTGCGGCAGTGTTCTTGAAAGATCAATTTATTTTTATTTGTATTCGTAGAATTCAAATAGCTGATCGTTACAACTTTACAGGTGAACCAAGGATATGAATTGCTATCTAGAAAGGTGCCATACTCAAAGTCTAAATCGAAAAAGTTGACGAAAGTAGAGACTTTACGATACGCCGTTCAATACATACGGCACTTGGAACGTCTTCTGCGCGACTCCGAGAACACCTCCTCTTATCCATCAACTAATGAGAATTCACCAACAACGAAAAACACACTCAAGGAAATCACATCAAGCACTCCAACAACTGATCCATATTGGCGATCATTAACGTTGAACCTTTCGAATCATAACATGTTCGATTCGCCATATCCATATCACACATCAGCACATCTTTATCCACCCTGCTTCAATTTTAGACAAATCAATGATTGAACCGCTCTAGTGGTTCTTCAGTGATCTCATGAATCTATTCATTCTTTTTAATTTCCGCATCTTCATTTGCTTTCTTGTCCGTTCACCAGTTCGTTCACTTCTTCATTCAGCGATTAATTCTTTCATTTTTGTCAACGTTATATTTGACGATTTGATCTCATTCAGTGTTCAGTTGGTAACATCTACTTTTGATTTAATCTATGTATGAGCTCGAATAATAGTACTGAAGGGATGTCTAGAGGGATTGTTTGACTCGTTAAAGAGCATGCATCGTTCTTGAATAGTCGTAGCAATAAAATTCCAGAGGACTTGAAATATTGAGAGCCAGAATTGGTTTATGAATCAAATGTTGATGCAAAACCGATAATTAGCTCATTATCAAATGTTAGAATAATATGATAACTGTTATTCTCCAAGCTACTGGCATCATGGGAAGTACTTCAGAGGGTTTGAAACGAGACGGAACGAGCTGATATCATTGAATATGTATTACTAGACTGGATGACTGCATTGGGTAAGTGTCACTTGGTTGACGCGAAAATTGTGTGAATTTGGTTCGATGTATTGTTTGTACTAAATAAGGATCAACGATAATAATAAGTAAGATGATAATAATAATAGCATCAATAATGAACAATAACAGTGGAAGTAACAATGCAACAATGTATAAATACAGATATGTGTGAATTGTTTTCAATGTCAATGCGATTGGTTATGTGAATTCGATGAATTGACAACAATAAATGATTGTTATTAATACCAACTAATATCAATTATCAATGACCGTAAAAAACCCATCGATTCATCGATCCATCCATCCATCGATCCCACATCAACACTCAAATCTATCTCCCCATCATCATTCCACTCAAAAGATCAACTCAAAGCAACACTCAATCAACGGATTATACACTCATCACAAATGAACCTTTGTATTGTATTGT